AAATCCTGCCCGCCCGACCATGGCCTGGCCGGCCCCCGCTTTGTTGCACGTTCCGCACATGCCCCGCACAGCCACGCACAGCATTTGCACAGGCCGGGCCAGGCAAAGCGACGACCCTAACAGACACCAAGCTCGCAATCAAAATAAACATGAGGCGTCTCGTGAGACAGCGAGGCGTCCCATGGGACAGCACGCCCCCGGAAAACTCTCGGCGCCTCCTTCGGCACAGCCCTCACGCAGATCGAGGCCTGCAAGGACATCTCGTGTGGGGGCATCCGAGGTCAGCATTGCGAGGATGTCTCAGACGACAGTGGCCTTACCATTTGAATTAAAGGAATTTCAGAACCCAGAGTTGCGCGGAAGTCTCAGGCGAAAGCGGCTGGATCACCATAGGGCAGGGCATCTCCGAGGTAAGACTTGCGAGGATGTCTCAGGCCAGAGTGACCTGACCATCGCAAGTCAGGGCATATCCGACGTCAGAGTTGCGAGGATGTTTCTGGCGAAAGTGGCCTGACCACCTGCGCAGGTCATCTCGGAAACCAGAACTGCGAGATTGTATCAGGCGAAAGCGAATGAACAACAGGGCATCTCTGAACCCAGAATTGCGAGGATGTCGCAGGCGACAGTGGCCTGACAACCTCAGCGCAGGGCATCTCTGAGATTGGAATTGCGCGGATGTCTCTGGCGAAAATGACCTGACCACCTGCTCAGGGCATCTCGGAAACCAGAGTCCAGACCACACTGCCAGCGTGGGCTGACCACCGCAGGTCAGGGCATATTGCAATCCAGAGTTGCGAGGATGTCTCGGGCGACAGTGGCCTGACCAGCTCAGCGCAAGGCGTCTCGAACCGAGAATTGCGAGGATGCTTCACGCGAAAATAGCCAGACCACCATGTGACACGGCATCTCGCAGGTCAGCGTTGCGAGAATGCCTCAAGCCAAAGTGGCCTCACCACAATAGGGCACGGCATCTCCGAGGCGATGGCCTGATTGCCGCGGGAATCTTTGGGACCCCCCCCCAGGCCCCGAAGGTCACGAAGCGCTGAAGGCCCTTGTAGTAGGGAGCCCAGAAAATTCCAAGAACGCATGTGCGTGCATGTGCATCGGCATGTGCGAGCATGTGCGGGCGCGGGGTTCAGCGCATGTGCGTGTATGTGCGGGCCCGCGCTGTCGTCCGCAGGGGGGAACACAGGCGAGTGCGTGCATGTGTCACTGACCGATCTGCGAGTTCCGCACATAGTCCGCATGTGCGGGCATGTGCATGCATGTGCATCGGCATGTGCGAGCATGTGCGGGCGCGGGGTTCAGCGCATGTGCGTGTATGTGCCGTTGACCGATCTGCGACGTTCGCACACGTTCCGCATGTGCGGGCATGTGCGTCGGCATGCGCGGGCATGTGCGTTACAATGCATGCAACAGACGCCAATGCACATAACCCCGCACATGCCCGGGCACGTGCGCACAATAGGACATTCATCCGAAAGCGCCCGCACATGCCGGGCACATGCCGGGCACATGCTGCACAAGCACGCACATGCCCGCGTAAAAATGGCCGCACATACACCCACCCAGGGGTATAGGAGTGAGTGCGGTGTACTCTTCCCAGGATGCACAAGATGAGCAACCAAAAAAGGGCCCTAACTCTTTGGGAAGGGACCTAAGTCGTCAAGGCCAACAACATTAGGGATACGGGGGCCTTTTCTGCAGATGTATCGAACCAAGCCGTCCAGACTCGTTATCCCTAATGCAAAGACGGGGACCTCGGTGAAGCCACGTCTTCATCGTGTTATTAAGGCTAGAAGTTCTCTTCTTCTCGATGGCAAGAATATCCAACACACGAAGAACCTTAGAGTACCCTCCCCGAACCAACCTCGATCTTGCGCAAATCACAGGAAGCATCTGGTCGACAACATGGTGCCCACCATCGCGTCCAATTCCGCACAGCACGGACGCAAAGCACCTCCCTCATAATGATGGTGCCATTGGCTGCTCTGGGGCGCAACGTGGGCATGACTTGAGCCATCTGAACATATTCGGCGCTAGTGGGCGATAGTGGGCGCTATGTTGGTTCTATTAGGCGATGTTCGCCGAGATACACTCTATGCAAGACGCGCGGAAGCTTCCGTCGTTCACTGTCTGAAGCGTATCCGCGCGGGGCCGAGGGGGAAAGCGAGAGGGGGTTGAGCTTGTAAAGGCGGCGCAGCTTCTCGGAAGCCATCTAGGCCTTCCGAGCAGCCTCCCGCAGCTCTGGAGGAAGGCTCAAAGAGAGCTTCTGGGAAGGCCAGGTAGAGGGCCGAACTTCAGACTCCGACGCTTATTCTGGCCCTGTACAGACATTCGCGCAGGAAGGCGGATCCTGGTGTGCACGGGATCCTGGTGTAGAATTGTTTTCGTTGTTCCCCAAGGAAAGCTGGCAAACAAAAAACGTATACACCACACCACCCCGAGGTCGTCCGCGACCCTCAGAAAATCTTGGGATTGAACAACAGCCCGCCACTCGTAATGTATACAGTGCGGGAGCGGTCGCAAGAAACCCTCGCAAGAAACCCAACACTGGAAACCCGCGCGCGAGGTGCACCTGAGAGAAAAACCCGAGCATCCTGAACGAATCAGCTTCTTTGCCGGCCGCGGGAAGTCACCGCGCAGAACGCGGAACGAAAACACCCGGGGTACCCTGACGAGAATCATATGGTTTCTTGATGCGCGCCCCCGCTGTGTGCTCCGGTGTTCGATCAGAGAGCCTCTGGGAAGGTCAGAGGCTCCCGGAGCCTGCAGTCGGGAGCGGCCAAGAGGGGGGTGTCCAAGAGGGGGGGGGTGCAAATCATGACCGGCGGCATGTGCGCGGCCCCGCGGGGGGGCCAGGGACGTCATGAAATAAGAAGAGGCGCCCTGAGATCTGGGGAAATATCATGGCCCCCGCCATGATATCCACCCCCCCTAGTCATCACCCCCCTCTTTTCCGCTCCCGATGCAGAGACGGCCCACTCCCTCCGCCTTCACCCCGGGGGCGCGCCGCCGACCCTGACCTGGCCCCTGGCCAGGGGTGCACAAAGCGGACAAGGCTGCAAAAGGGCCCCCAACTTCGCGCTCTCGCGCTGCGCGAAGCACGAAGCGCGCCGCGCTGACGCGCCAGTCGCCAGGGGATAAGGAGGAGGAGGAGGAGGAGGAGGAGGAGGAGGAGGAGGAGGAGGAGGAGGAGAGAGGAGGAGAGAGGAGAGAGGAGGGAGGAAGGAGGAGGAGGAGGACGAAGACATCGAAAGCCACACCGCGAGCCGCGAAGCACGAAGACCTCCGCACCCTCAAGAGCACCATTTGAGGTTGGCCCCCCTCTTGGAGTGGGCGACTTGGTGGTCAGTGCGATGGCAAGTACACTGCTGTCTGCTTCCGCAGTAAGACTTGGCGGCATACGCGGGGGGGGGGGAGGGGGGGGAACGGGGCGGGCCTTCTCAGAAGGCTCGGGAGTCCCCGGGCTTTCTGAGAAGTTTCCTAAGCCTTCCCCGACGACACTGACAACTTCTTTGAAGGCGCGAGGGCTTCTGAGAAGTCCCGCCGCCTTCTGAGAAGGCCGTCTCCTTCTCATGTTCCCCCCCTCGCTCGCCGCCGAGCGATTGTGAGTACTGCCGTCTGCTTCCGCAGCTAGATGCTGCGTAACAGGGCCTGACTCACTGACCATCACGATGGTTGCCCACATGTTGCAGGCGGTCCACGCAGTCCCCCCCAAATCGGATCGATACATCGATCACACGAATCGAATCGAAACACCGAAAATCAAGTCGATAAAATCCAAAATCGAATCGATAAAATCGAATCGATCCAATACATCGAACCGATGAATCGGATCGGGGATCGAAAGGAGGCGGACAGGCGGAAATCGGCAGACAAGTCGGGGGGGAGTCCGAATCAGCGGAACTCGGCAGGCTGGAAGGCTAATGAGGCCTCCATTGAAGCATTGAAACTAAATCTGAACCAGGAGTCGAGCCGAATCGGGAACAATCGAAATCAAATCGAACGCAATCGAAGGAGTCGCAAAGAGCTGACTACCTACCAGAGCGCCCCAATCTAACCCGAAGGCCCTAATTTCGGATTGGGGGGGGGTACGGGATCCACACGTGTTTTTGTTTTTCAAGTTCCCCCGACACCCACCCACTGGAAATGGACAGCAAATCGGGGCCTTCATGTTGGTTTGGGGTGGATAGGTGGGCGGTGAGGAGCCCTGCCAGGGGGGGATGGGAGGGGCGGAGCAGGGAGGAGGGCCCTCCCCTTTTAGCGCGACGAAATCTCTTTCTCTCTCTCTCTCTCTCTCTTTTGTTGTCTCTCGCTCCCTCTGTCTCTCTCTCTCTCTCTCTTGTGTGTCTCTCTCTCTCTCTCTTTTGTCTCTCTCTCTTTCTCCCTCTCTCTCTATCTATACATATATAAATACGTATTATGTGTGTACATGTGTGTATATATATATATATATATATCCTGCTCCCTGGCCAGGCCCATCCTGAGCAAAGCAGCGGTGGATATGCCATACCCTCCTGGCTCGGTCACGAGGGCGACTTTACAGCTCCTGGGTTCAGAGTGGGCCTGGCCAGGAAGCGGTGAATACATATGTGCATTTATGTATACACACATAGAAAGTATCCATACTTATAAACTTATGACCTGTACCAAAGAATGGCGCAATTACTTACATCCAATAGGTGTATAACCTACGCATCTAGATATACACATGTATCAAACTCTCTCTCTCTCTATATATATATATATATGTTTGTATACATGTGTATACATGTGTGATATAGATGTGCTTGCAGCTTGCAGTCTAGCATAAAGAAGTGTTGCGCAACGTATAAGATGCCAACATGGGTAGTTCTATAAACAGTATTTGACGCCCGACCTGCCCTCCTGGAGGAGACGACGGATGGCGGAGGAGGCGCCTGCGGGGGGCCCGGGAGGGCGCCCAGGGCCCCCCCCCCCCCGCGGCAGCGGCGCTGCGGCCGCGCCGCGCGCGCGCCTCACGGGCCCGCGGCCGTCCTCTCCGAGTCCCACCTCGGCTGGGACTCAGCGTACGGCTAGAGTTATGCTGGGCGTGTCCCCCTACAGGGGGATTTTCGACGAACAAATATCAAGGCAAAACAAAACCAAAATGCCCCCAAAAGATAAAAAAACAAAAAAAAATCTAAAAATAGTCCCCAGACTAGTTTTGGACATGTTTTGATTAGTTGGTGGGGTATCTTTTATTTTTCGCCGAAAATCCCCCTGTAGGGGGACAGGCCCGACTTGAGACTAGAGGCCTTCTAGATGGTGTCGGAGTAGGTGGGGTCGGAAGATCGCGCCGCATCGCCGATACATCGGCGATGCAGCGGCGGTGCATCGGCGACGCACCGGCGACGCATCCCCGACGTGGGCAATGCGTCGGCGACGCCGACGAGAAGCAGAGCGGGCTCCACATCGAGCCGCGTCGCCGATGCATCGGCGATGCGGCGCGACCCTCCGACCCCAGTCTGCTCCGACCCCATCCAGGAGGCCTAGAGAGACGAAGCCAAGACGAGGATAAGATCGGGCAAGGTGAAATCGAACCGAGGCCCGCTCTAGGGAGGCACCAACTATACACCAACACCGATCCTGGCCAGGATCAACCTGGGCCCAGCATCGGTGTATATGCCCTCCTGCCATGGACAGAATGCATATACACCGATCCTGGGCCTAGGATCAACCTGGGCTGGATCGGTGTAGGTGTATAGTTGGTGCCCTCCGACGCTCGCGTCTGGGACGGCTGGGGGCTCGATCGCGCGCCATGGGGCGGGGGGGGGCAGGTGCGGACGCCCGGTCGGGGCGCGGCAGCAGGAGATGGGCGGCGCGCCAGGGGGGGACGCGGGGGGCAGGGGGGGAGGCGGCTTCCTAGGAGGAGGCTGCTTCTGAAAACGCGCGGGCCCCACATCTACAGACAAAGCCCGTGCCTCCTCAGAGGCAGGGGTGTTTCTACGAGGCATTTCCTTCTGCGCGTGGCTGAGTGACCCCAGAGCCCCCAAAGACCTCACCGCCAGGTCCGCCACTGCGCGGTCTGGAGCCTTTGGAGAAGTTTGCCGGATGATTGACCAAATCGCTTGATGAGAGACAGCCGCCTTTGCAACACTGAATACAATATTATCGAAACAATGCAACAAAGTACAAGCAAGTGAAAGGAATATGGAGAATGTGACAGCGAATGCAACTTGTCGAAACACTGTAACAAGGGCACAAGCATCTTTGAATTATGTGCCGACCCCCACGGGCCGACGGCACCCATCATGGTGGGGTGTCTCTGCCCCGGGGACGCGCCTGCCTTGAGGGCTGCAGGCCAGCTCGTGCATCACCGCCGGCCAACCTGACTGAGTCAGTGGCCCTGTGGGCCTGAGCGGCCCGAGGTTCGTCCCAGCCGACTGAGTCGGTGGGAGCCCCCCTGCTCTCGGGAACGTGTCGGTGAACGACCAATGAAGGATGGACAGGATGTCCCCCCCCCCTGAAAGCTGATGTAGAAGCCGATGAAAACGACTTTTGGGGCTTCCGCCGCCCGAGGCGTCATCAGCGAGCGACCCACAAGCGCGCGGTCACGCCGAAGCACCACTGGCTCACCACACCACGTGATGAGGTAACCGCACCGTTAGGACGCCTCCGAGCCTGGGGACAGCTAGGGGCTCGATCGCGCGCCAGGGGCGGGGGGGTGGGAAACAAAAAGGTACCGATACCGCCATTCCTGGGACCTCTCCCGGGGTGCGTTCTTGCCAGGACTCCCAGGAGAACCAACGAGGGAAAAACGAGGAGAGGGTGGCGGTCTGGGTACCTTTTCCTCCTCTGGGGGGGAGCGGACGCTCAGTCGGGGCGCAGGCACTGGAGAACGGGTCAAGAGCATGAGACCCTCGACCGAAGGACCGACGCCCCACGGAGAGATGCACGGAGGCAGGGAGCAAACCCGGAGGCAGCCCATCCATAGCTGGACAAGGCTGCTCTGTAACCCCGTGCCCGACGCAGGGCATGTTCTTCGGTGGAGCTCCCGCCTCTGAAAGATAACAGGCTGCCCCTTCCGTGCTTCGGCGGCGAGCCCGGAGGGGATGGTGAGAAGGGGAACAGGGAAACGAGCTCTATACACCGGCGCATTTTCCGACCCTGCGCTGAAATTCGAACAGGCACGCGGATCCTGGTGTATACGGGATCCTGGTGTATACATGTTTCGCTGTTTCCCTGGGAAAACGGGGGAGAAGCGTACACCACAATTCGTATTCTTCGAGTCATCTTGAGAGGTGCTGTCCGTTTTCTGCACTCAACTCGAGCTGTAAGGGGGCTGCAGGGCTGGTAATCACTGGAATCGATTCGGAGACATAAGTCGCGTCCGCCTGTCGCATTCAGAGCTCTGAACTCGGTCTGCTGCCCGAGCTAGGTACACCACACCACCCCGACGTCGTCCCCGACCCTCGAAAAATCGTGGGATTGACACAAAAACCGCCACTGGTAGTGTATATGCTCCAGTTGCCGAGGGAGGGCCTTCTCAGAAGGCTCAGAAGTCGGCCCGCCGCAGGCCCGCCCTGCCTCCCGCCCTCCTGGCTACTCAGCCCCGGCCCCGACCTTCGGCGAAGCTTTCCAGGCCTCCCCCGAAGACGCAGGAAACCTCCCCGGAGGCGCGAGGGCCTCTGAGAAGTGCCGCCGCCTTCCGAGGAGGCCTGTTCCGTTTCCCTTTCCCCCCCCCCCTGGCTCGCCGCCGAGTGTCAAAATCGGTCTCCGGACCCATCCCGGGGTCGATCCGACGCGGATTCATCACCCCGGATGGAGTTCCAAGGGTCCCGGGGCACGAAAACGGCCCCCCTACAGAGAGGCCGAAGACAGTGAAAAACCGCCTCGAAGCTCGAACCTCGAAGCTCGAACCTCGAAATTCCCCCCCGTCGGCCGCCGAGTTCTTCGCTGGTGAAGCCCCCCTCCAATAATTCCCAGCCGTCGGAAAAATGAGGAATGCTCAGCATCCCACTTGATGGACAAATCATGTTACTCACGGGAGCCTTCCCCTCCTCCTCCTCCTCCTCCTCCCTCCTCCCTCCTCCTCCTCCTCCTCCTCTCTCCTCCTCCTCCTCCTCCTCCTCGGAGGAGGAGGAGGCTCCTCCTCCGACTGCTACACCCCCCGTCCGCTTCCTGGCGTGGCTTGGTGGACCCGCTCGTGACCCACTCCGCCTGCCCAGCCCGTCGAGGCCCGGTCGCCCGACGCGCCCACGAGAGCTCGCCCGCCGGCCCCCCCCCCCCACGGCCGGGGCCCGTCGGCCCGTCCATAGAGACCTCCTAATGCCCCCAAAAGATAAAACAAATACTCTAAAAATAATACCCAGACTATGTTTATAGTATGTTTTGATTAGTTGTTGGGGCATTTTTGTTTTAGCTTTCGTCGAAAATCCCCCTGTAGGGGGACAAGCCCGACTTAAGACTAGACGCCTTCTAGATGGTGTCGGAGGATCGCGCCGCATCGCCGATACATCGACGATGCATCGGCGATGCATCGGCAACGCTCCGGCGATGCATCGTCGACATCGGCGATGCATCGCCGACGTCGACGTGAAGCAAATCGGGCTCCACATCGAGCCGCATCGGCGATACGGCGCGATCCTCCGACCCCATCTACTCCGAACCCATCTAGGAGGACTAGAGGTTAACGGGGGCTCCACTGACAGGTGCGTTGGCCGGTGACCCCGCGAACCCAGTCCTCCCCGATGTGAACCTCGCTGCAATGCCAGAAGGAGGCCCTGAACATTGCAACTTTCGGCAACTTTCCAAAGCACCCGTGAGTGAGTACCCGTTACGGTGCCGCTGACTACGTTCGTCAACACACGGACCAGGAATCGCGGGTTTGTGTACGTATAAATTAGCATGTTGGGTGGCGCGGGGGCAAAGAATACTAGGCCGCCTCAACGTGACTGCTGGCGTGGAACTCTCCATGCGGAGACTAGCCATTGTGTAGGAGGCTGACAGCTGAGCGGTCGAACCTCGGACGGACAAGCCACGAACGTGAGCGAATGCAGCGCACTGGCGGTAAAATTAGCCTGGCCGAACTGGCAGGGACGGCATACAGATATTGATCCCCCGCGCCAGGGCCCTTCCGTTGAGCTTACATAAGTGGTGTGCGTCCCTCGACGCTGGTACCCTGTTTTGCTCACCATGCAAGCCAAATGCATGCCCTAAGGCCAAGGCTACAACAACGACGGCACCCGCCCGAGACTTCCTCCCAGAAAGGATTTGAGCATCGCGTTCTCGCTCTGCAGTCTTGGTATTTGACTCACGGGTCGCGCCCCCGCTGGAGACCTCCTCTGGATAATGGATCACGCTCGCCCTGCTCCTTCTCTCCCCTTATTCCTCACCCTCCTGCGGCTCCCTGTTCTGCTCCTCCTTCTCTCTCCTTCACCTCCTCCTCCTCCTGGCCATCTTTGCCGTCCTCCTGCTCCTCCTCATTCTCCTCATCCTCTTCAACCTCCCTCGTCCGAGCAACTCGCCTGGGCATCGATGCCAAGGTGCCTGGTGGGATGTCGTGAAGCGTCGAAAACATTGAGACACATACTGGTATGGCCTGTCCTGCACATGCTGCTGTGAAACATGCCACGAACACACCCCTAAGCCTCTCCCTGCTCTTTCCACTATCTCGGCATGACACGCGTCACGACAGCCTGGCCTTCTCGACAATTCGTACAGCTCCTCGACGGACTTCACGCCAAACTTTTCTTCCAGGTCATCGTCAGGGGAGATGCCGAAATATCCACAGAACACGTCCACGAGCTCGTCACGGTCGAGTACGATGGTGTAGTTCTTGGCCATGCGCATGTTCTCCAGCACGCGACGCAGGACGTGTGGCTCGAGCTGGTGTGGCTTCCTGTGGAAGTGCTTGTAGAAACTATCGCTAAATATGCTCTCACGGTCGCGCACGACCCTCATGAACTCGAGGAACTCCTTGAACTCCAGCTCTCCGCTGCCATCGGCGTCCAACTCCTTGAAGAACAGATCGAACTCGTCCTTCTTCAAGCTCTTTCCCATCAACGTCAAACACTCGCAAAGCTCCTCCGCCTGGAGCCTGCCAGAAGCGTCGGCGTCGAGGGAGTCGAATGCCCACCGCATGTCGCGCAGCTGCGCCGTGCTGAACTCCATGGCCAGCGCCTGGGCCAGCTCATCCTCGAAGCGCACGCGGTTGAGCCTCTCTTCGACCTTCTGGCAGAAGTCCTTCTGTGGCATCTCATGGGCATCGACGCCGACCGACCCTAGTAGACGCTAGCCGACGCTAATCGAGGCCCATTCGACTCTAAGTCGGCGCATCCTCATCCATTACCAAACGCTAGCGCACGCACTGTGCTGCAGAGACGAACATTCAAAGACATACAGGGCTCCCGTGACATGCTACCGAGAAATCCTGGAACTCCGAGAACTCGATCTGGCCCGAGCCGTTCTCGTCCGCACCGTTGATGAGGGCCGCGAGCTCCTCCTGCTCGACGCGGTTGCGCGGGGTCAGCCGGAGCTGCTCCAGCAGAGGAGCTATCTCGCGGACCTCGTTGGGGCAATTCCTGGGAGGCCTTCGCCAGAACGAGGAAGGGATATTCAACACGAGTAATGGGCCATTGGGCCACATTAGGCTTGATTCAGGCCCGGATGAAGAGGAGTGGCAAGGGAGTAAGCAACATTAAGCGGGATTAGCCCAGATTCCCAGCAGGGACATACCAGCGGCCACTTTGAATTGAACCTCCCAGGAATTGCATCCGAACGGACCGACAGCGTGCCGTCGCCGTCCCTGTCGTACTTCGAGAAGAGAAACTTGTGGACGCCCACCTTCAAGAGCTTCCCCCTCTCACGGATTTGGCCGATGATCGCCAAGAACTCTCGAAAATCCACCTTGGCCATCGTCTTGAGGTCGAGGCGATCCTCGATGGCGCAGGGGGTGACGCCAAACTCCCTGACCGCCCTCATGATCTCTGCCTGGTCCAACTTCCCTGAGCCGTCGGCGTCGTACTGTGAAAATATCGCGTGCAACCAGATCAAGTCCTGATAGGGACATTCCATGCCTCTTGCAGCCCGGGCTACGCGCTGCCCGCGGCATGTTCTGGGTCACCCCAGGGTATCCGATGCCATCGCAGGCAGACCGAGAGCACCCGAACAACTGAAGAATGCAGAAATTGTCGGGGCAAAAAGGTCCCCGCCCCCCCAAAACCACACGGCTTCCACTTCATGCCACGAAACGCCACACTGGGGAATACGTGAACGAGCGTGATGATTACCTGGCCGAGTGTAGCACCAATTGAATATGAACTGGCCTGGGAAATGTTCATTGCTGGGCGAGCCTTTCAGGCAGATGCGCTGTTCTTTTGAGTTCAGACAACCCCTGGTCATGTTCCTCGAACGTAACTGCTCACTTGCGCGAATCTGGTAAGGCTTGGTTGGAGCTGCGCAGAGGAAGCCCCAAGAGGTAGACCAGGCTGGCCTGATCAAGTCTATTGGACAACCCATGGTTTACGCCGTGGTCGTTGGGGACAGATACATGTTTCAAGAAAACTCGATTTTGATGAACGGTGCACCGTAGCCTGGCGAAAGACCCAACCACATGCAGTTGTGCGTACCGCAGTTGTGGGTATCGCCTTCGGTGGAGCTCCCTATGGGGCCACGGAGCGCTGTACTGGGTGGGGGAGACGCATGCGAACTGCGCCACTGGGACCTACGGGGGAGCTCCCCATGGGGCCACGAAACGTTGTACTGGCTGGGGGAGGCGCATGCGAACTGCGCCACTGGGATCTTCGGTGGAGTTCTCTCTGGGGCCACGCAGCGTTGTACTGGGTGGGCGACACGCACGCGAACTGCGCCACTGGGACCTTCGGAGGAGCTCTCTCTCTGGGGCCACGCAGCGTTGTACTGGGTGGGCGAGACGCATGCGAACTGCGCCACTGGGACCTTCGGTAGAGCTCCCTATGGGGCCACGAAGCGCTGTACTGGGTGGGGGAGACGCATGCGGACTGCGACACTTGGACCTTCGGTGGAGCTCCCTCTGGGGTCACGAAACGTTGTACTGGGTGGGGGGGCGCATGCGCACTGCGCCACTGAAGCCTTTGGTGGGGCTCCCTATGGGGCCACGAAGCGCTGTACCGGGTGGCGACGCATGCGAACTGCACCACTGGGACCTTCGGTGGAGCTCCCTCTGGGGCCACGAAGCGCTGTACTGGGTGGGGGAGACGCATGCAAACTGCGCCACTGGGACCTTCGGAGGAGCTCCCTGTGGGGCTACAAACAACAATGGGGGAGACGCATGCGAACTGCGCCACTGGGACCTTCGGTGGAGCTCCCTATAAGGCCACCGAATTCTGTACTGGTTGCGGGGACGCATGCGAACTGCGCCATTGGGACCTTCGGTGGAGCTCCCTATGAGGCCACGAAGCGCTGTACTGGATGGGGGAGACGAACCGAACTGCCAATGGAAGTGGAGCTCCCTCTGGGGTCACGAAACGTTGTACTGGGTAGGGGAGGCGCATGCGAACTGCGCCACTGGGAACTTCGGTGGAGCTCCCTATGGGGCCACGAATGGCTGTCCTGGGCGGGGGAGTGAGAGTCGGAATGCCGAAAGATCCTGGAAAACCCCCCAAAACGGCGACTGCACAGGACAACTAACACACATTAACCGGTAACAAAGAGAACCGGCCCTTCCGTCTGGAATCGTAACTGGAATCGGACCCGAACAAGAAACGGCGACGGCGACGGAACTGGACAAAAAAACACAGAAACATGGAACTAATAACACCAACGGTCCTGCCGTCCAGGATCCGAAAGAGAATCGGAATCAGCAACAACCGGCGACAGAAGCGAAACAAAAAACGGCGACGGAACCAAACGCAACAAAAAACTGTACAAAAAACGGATCCGGTAACAAACTGCCGCCCAGAATCGAAACAAGGATCCAAGACCGATTTCGAACAACAGGCGGAGACGGAACCGCAAACACATCGACGGGACAAGACAACTAAAAAAAAAACGAATCCGCTAAAAAGCAGCCAAGCATCGAAACTGGAATCGGAACTGGAAAACAAACAACTGATCCAGAACAGGAACTGCGACGGGCCTGGACAAAACACTGAAAAAACGAGCACCGAAACGGCCCTGCCGTCGGGAATCGGAACGGGAATCGGAGGCAGACAACGACCGGTTCGGAACCAGGAAGAGCAGCGACGGGAAGGGGACACCAAAAGAAAACACGGATCCGGTGACAGCAGCGGCCCTGCCGTCTGGAGTCGGAGCGGGAATCGGAGGTAAAGAGCAGACGGCGACGGAGCCCTGGCAAAGACGGTGGCGGGACCGGAAAAACAAAGGAACAAGAGAGGCACCAGTACCATTAAGTCGGGCCTGTCCTCCTACAGGGGGATGTTGGACGGAAAAGTTTAAATTGTTCAAACAATACCTCCAAATTGTCAAAAAATACTAGAAAAATAGTCCCCTGACTATTCTTTAACAATGTTTGATGTTCCTCCTGTAGAGGGACAGGCCCGACTCAACAGCACCCGCAGCGGCCCTGCCGTGCTCGCGAGGCCCACGGGGGCCCAGAGCAGTCCTGACATCCCAACACCAGGGGCGCGCTGCGCCCCTACCGGGCCGGCGCGAGGGCGCTGCGGCCCGCTCTGGGCTGCCCTCGGGGAAGGGGGGGGGGCATTCGTGGGCGATTTTGCGGCCCTCCTCCTCCTCCTCCTCCTCCTCCTCCTCCCTCCTCCTCCTCCTATCCGCGGATGCCCCGCACAGGACGGGGCTGTGCGACCGCGCGTGCGCAGGCTCGCGCCCCAGAACCCAAGACCGCGAGGGCCTGGATGTGGACACCTTCGACGCTCGTGGAGCACGCCGGGGCTGGCCAGAGTGGGTCCGCCCACACCCGAAGCGCAGGACAGCGGCAGAAACATAAAAATCTCTCGGAAAAATCCGCGCGGATGGCTTCGACCGGGGCCGGAGCCCCGACCCCCCTGGAGCGCGGGGCGCGCCAGGGGCGGCCCCCTCGAGGCGGCGCCTCGAGGGGGCCCCGCGACGATCCAGGACACCCCTGCGGACCTCCGAGAAGTAAGATGCTCGCGCCTGTGCTCGCAGCGTCGATGCACCACCGATGCGTCGGAGTCGACGGCGACGCGTCGGCGAGGTCGGCGTGGAGGACGTCTGGCTCCACACCTCGCCGCATCGCCGACGCACCTGGGATGCGGCGAGATCCTCCCCCCAGGCCTGCTCTCACCCCGTCGGGGAGGCCAAGAATGTCGAGGCCAGCCCAGACGACGCACCCACGCCCAGGACTCATCCATACCCGCCGATGAGAGGACACGTACCCCAAGGATCTCGGGCACGCTGCATCAGGATACGTCCCAGAGGGCGAAAACTGTGGCCACACCCAACGCTCTGTGGTACTGGAGAGATCTCGGGCGTGGACCGCAGCTCCCCTGGCATCCGCCGATGTTGTCTTTGTTCAACCTGCGGCCCGAGATCCGGTGGTAACTCATGTGAGCCTATTGCACCACCCTGCAAGCTCTTGCGAATCGACGCTAGTCGACGCCAAATCGATGCTAATCGACACCACCTCGGCGCTTTCTCATCGACTGCAAGACGCTAGCGCACGCGATGCACTCTCAAGGCGGAATTCCGAAAACATGCAAGGCTCCCATGATTTGCTACCGAACCCAAGAGTGCTTTTCTGAGTCCCGAAACGGTGCGGTGACGGACCGTGCGGTGACCTCGAAATCCCCCAAGACCTCACCGTACGGTCCGTCACCGCACGGCCTTGGGACCCCGGAGGCCCCAGTCGCCCGAGACGTCCTCGGAGAACGACTCGAGTCCCAAAACCGTGCGGCGACCCCGAATCCCCACCGACTCACCGCACGGTGTGGTCACCACCCCGTTTGGGAGCCCCCGAACATCGCAACCTCGCGAAAAAGCACAAACGGAACCCCGGAACCCACCCCTCTGCGGCATCTTTCGGGCCAGATGGAACGCGGACGTGTCCACCTTCGGGAGGGATGTCCAAAAATAGTCATAACAAAAATGATGTGGGGACGATTTGTTTCTAGCATTTCTTTCGGGGATGGACAGGCCCCCCTTTAGCAAAACGTGGTTTAGTGAAAACGACCTGAGGCCCAAACCTGGCGGGCGCAAGCCTGGAAAATGACGGCCACGGCGCCCTCTCGAGAACCGAAAACGGACAATTCACTAATCGACGTGTCACTGTTGGGGGTTCTGTCCAGCCCCGATTCTTCTTTAAAAAGACGATGCCGAATATTTGTTGCTATGATCGGCACAACTCCGTTGGCGATGAACCCAGACTGCCCCCGGACCTCTCTCGGAGGGCCGAGGCCCGCCGTGGGACGCGCCCGCGGAGGCCCGCCGCGAGGCCGCGGCTCGGACTGCCCGGTGGGGCCCCGACGGGGGCCTGCCGAAGGGGCCAGCCTGCTGTGCACAGCCCAGGGGGCACCCCTCGGCGGCGGGCGAGGGGGGAAGCGAGAATGACTACCTACCAGACCACCCCAACCCAACCCGAAGACCCGAATTTCGGGTTGGGGGGGGTAAGGGTTCCACATGTGTTTTTTCGATGTTTCCCGACCCCCCCCCCACTGGAAATCCATGGTGAACCTGAGCCTTCGGGTTGGGTTGGGGTGGTTTGGTGGGTGGCGAGAGAAGGGGTGGGCCTTCGCAGAAGATGCAAAGAAAAACTCTCAAAGGCGCGGGGGCTTCTGAGCAGTACCGCCGCCTTCTGAGGAGGCCCTCTCCCTCTCATGTACCCCCCTCGCTCGCCGCCGACCTTAATCAACGGGAAGCTGAATCAAAGTGGGACGTGCCACGTGGGTACAGCATTGGCAGGACTCGGGCGGGACACAGACATGCCAGTGCTATTTATCCTCCTTGGAGGCGCTCGTCCGCCCCGAACATGTAATGCACATATCTTGAAGTATGTCGTTTCCCGAGCGGCACGGGACCAGAAAACGGCCGCCACGAAGCATATAGCATAAGATCAAGCAGCCCGCGCGTCACCCCTAAAATGGCGACGCGTACATGATATTAGTACGTTTGAGACTACAGAAATGGTACCGATACCGCTTCCCGGTGGACCTCTCCTGGGGTGCGTTCTGGCGCGGATTTCGAAGCGAATCCAGCGGTGGCGACGAGGGCCTCCCAGGAGGCCCAAAAAGGGGGAAAACGAGGGAGAGGTAGAGGTAGAGCATGTTTTCAGAATTCCGGGACAACGGTCGACCGAAGCCAAGTCGGAGTAGCATGTAGGTGGCGATCTGCGCCACGATTCTTGCGTACACCACAGTGCTCGCGTACACCACAGCGCGCGTGTACACCACAACTCCTGAGTGCACCGCAACAGCCGTGCGCAACACAGCACCAGTGTACACCATAGTGCCCGCGTGCACCACAGCGCCTGTGTACACCACGGCAACTGTGTGCACCACAGCAACCATGTGCAACACAGTGCCTGTGCACACTACAACTCCTGGGTGCAACGTCGCACCTGTGCATACCACAACGCCGATGTACACCACAGCATCCGCGTGCAACGAATCGCTGGTGTACACCACAGCACTTGCGTGCGCAGAACAAGTAGAAGAAGCATGCAGGAGAGGATCAGCTGCGGACATCTAAACACCACGACAAGAACTACTGATAATATAATGCGATGTTCTTCCCCCCTCCCCCCTCCTCCTCCTCCTCCTCCTCCTCCTCCTCCTCCTCCTCCTCCTCCTCCTCCTCCTCCTCCTCCCTCACCCTTCCCCCCGTTGTGCGGGACGGCGCTACAAAACCACGTGCGCATCTCAGCGTGCACCGCAGAATGGTCTATTGAATCAATCCACTTTGTTCTCGGACGGCCAATTCCGCGGGAGCCTTCTGGACGCAGATGGGAGGAGTTAGGATGATGCGGGAGGACTCGGGAGGACTCGTAGATTCCAGCGGCGCTCCTTTTCCATGTTAAGATTCCTACACAAATCCTATATAAAACAACGTTTTCAGTGGGGTCCACATGCGCTCCATTTTGTCATAAAGATTCTGCCTTAAATTCTATATGCAACAATGGTGCTCTGTTGCACACGGTTAGTGTGGTGCACACATGCGCCGTGGTGTACACAGGCGCTGTGGTGCACGCGGGCACTGTGGTGTACACTGGCGCTGCGTTGCACGCGGCTGCAGTGGTGTACAGTGGCGGTGCGGTGTACACAGGCGCCATGGTGAACGCTGGCACTGTGGTATGATAAACATTCGCTGTGCTGCAGATCTCCGCCTACTTTCTGCTGCTACCCGTCCCCGGCCAATCCTACAGTCGTGCCTGAATGGAGAGGACACGCGAGAGGACGACCCTTCCGAGGGCCACATCGCCATATCGGGGATGGACAGACCCCCATTTAGTAAAACGTGGTTTAGTGAAAACGACCTCGGGCCCAAACCTGGCGGGCGCCAGCCTGGAAAATAACGGCCGCGGCGCCATCTCGAGAACCGAAAACGGACAATTCACTAATCGACGTGTCAGGGTAGGAGGTCTGTCCACCCCCGACCATAGGAGTGTAAGAAGGCACGTGTCGCGACGCACAGGACACAAGGGTACCCTTGACTGGGCAAGGTCGACCTGCTAATCCGGGTCGACTGTAGGCACTCCCAGACTTGGAAGCCGGGCAAGGGCTGCTAAATCCGTGGCTGCTAAAATCGACCTCCGGGAAGTTGTCTTCGTCCTGCCGGGAAGAAGCCTGTTGACTGTTTCGCGTGCCGCGCCTCATTCCGGGAAGTTGTTTCTTCCTTCCGGGAGTGCCGTTTTAGCAGCCACGGTTTTAGCAGCCCTCGCCCAGCTTCCGACAGACGCCGCCGGCGCGAGACGTGACGTAATCGGCCCCCCGTGACGGGGTACCATCTCCTCCTCTGAATGTCGGGGTGGCTCCGAGGACCGCGAGGGAGGGGGGGCCTCCAGGCCGACACGGTGGAGCAACGTCGGGGTCGAAGCCTCATGGGGCCGAAGGATCCTCCTCCTCCTCCTCCTCCTCCACCCGTTCTCCTGCTCCTCCTCCTCCTGCTCCTCCTCCTCCTCCTCCTGATCCTCCTCCATCCTCCATCCTCCATCCTCCATCCTCCATCCTCCATCCTCCATCCTCCATCCTCCTCCTCCTGCTCCTCCTCCTCCTCCTCCTGTTCCTCCTCCATCCTCCATCCTCCATCCTCCTCCTGCTGCTCCTGCTCCTCCTTCTCCGCAAACGTGCGGGACAAACCGCCGGTGACAAACCGTCGGAAGCACGGGCCCCTCTGGGGGCTCTGCCCAGCTGCTCAGATGCGGGGCCACGACAGGAGGGGGGGACTGGCATCGGGGGGTGGGTGGGTGGAGCATCAACCCCCTCGCCGTGCACAAGAATCACGACGGGAGGGTCTTTTCCCTTCCCGGGCTCTTGGGGCCCTCACCGGGTCTCGGGAGCCCCCCAAAGCGGCCCAGGACCTTGCCGTCGCTCGGACGTCCATTCCCTGTGCGTTTTTCGGTGGTGTGCGTGCTTTTCTTGCTCGATGATCCAGGATGCTCTTCGATGCTCCTCGCCGAGAACAAAATTCGCACGTCCGAGCGATGCCCAGGGACGAGACACCGGTCCCTGGGAAGGCGTCTAGACCTCTGGGGGTCGACGTTTTGAAAAAGACGCGACGCCCGGGGTCTGAGCTCATCGACCTGGACTCGGCGATACATCGCCGACAGATCGGCGATGGGCCTCCGATCGCCACTCCGCACGCTCCTGGGTGGGGGGCGGGGCCATCGAACCCCGATCGGTGATCCACGGGAGACGGGAGGTCGGTGCGTCCCCCCCATGCCTACAGTCGGACCTAGGCCAAAAGTGAAGGGACAGTGGGACACACAAAGAAATACACACAAATGAAAAGATTCCCCATATTTCCCTACATTTTCTCGGTTTTTGTCCTCCCCCCCACTTCCCATATTTCCCCATATTTTCCTGGGGATCGACGATTAATTGTGTCTGTGTTTTTTCCCCTCTTGAAAAAGGACATACAGCAAGAAGAGGAGGCCCTCCGCGGGCCTCGGGACCCCCCCCCGGAGGCCCCGGCGCGCACGCGGACGCGGTCGATGCTTCCATACCCCCGACGTCTCCTCTCTTTCCCGTCAGAATTCTGGGCCCGTTCCCCGGGACCCGGGTCTCGTCCTGAGCCGTTTTCTGGCGCTCCCGGGGCCCGAGAAGGGCCCCTGGAGGCAGAACAAAGCAGCAAACATCCAGTGTTTGACAATGTACATCTCTCTCTCTCTATATATATATACACAATGTATATACACGTCTCTCTCTCTCTCTCTCTCTCTATATATATATATATACAAGTGGCACGTGTGTGCCCAGGCTCACACAAAAAACTGAAGGGGCGTTTGAAGCAGGAGTGAAATGCAACATCGAAGTCGCACTCGAGCGCAAGTGGGGTTGCCACACCTTGCGATGTGTGTACCAGGCCCCCCAGGAAGCCTTAGGAGGCCCGACTTGGATACCAGAAGAGGCTCCAGGAGGTCCCAGGATTGTGAGTGTTGTGCGTGTGTGTGTGTGTGTGTGTGTGTGGTGTGTGTGTGTGTGTTTGTGATGTATGCTTCGTGTGGTGCGTGCTTTTTGTGTGTGTTGTAGGTGTTGTGTGTGTGTGTGTTATGTTTGTCTAGCGTGTGATGTGTTGGGCGTGATTTGTGTCTCTGTGTGCATGTAGTTCTGAAGCCCCAGGAGGCCCCAGGAGGCCCCAGGCGGCCTCAGGAGGCCCCAGGAGACCCCAGGAGGCTTCAGGAGGCCCCAAGAGGCTCCAGGAGGCCGCAGGAGGCCCCAGGAGGCCCCAGGAGGTTTCAGGACACCCCCAGGAGGCTCCGAGGCGGGGTCTGGGGTGCCAGAAGGTTCAGAAGGCCCAGGAGGCCCCAGGAGGTTCCAGGAGGCCCCCAGGAGGCTCCGAGGCGGGGTCTGGGGCTCGATTTTGGAAGGATTTTTCAAGCGAAACCGCCATTCACTGAGAATCGGGGTCACAATTATTGAAATTACCATGTGTTTTTGAAGGTTTTATTTTAAATGTTGAATTTCCCATGTGTTTTTGGACCCTGACGTCGCGATCTGCGTGAGGGGTGCCACCGATTTTCAGAATTTCGAGGATGTCCCGAGCGAAACGCCCAGAAACATCGCGGACGCGTGCGCATGAATCGCCTCTGAGCTCTACTCCCTCGGAGAGGTCCGTATGAGAATACATATATATATATATATATATATATATATATATATATATATATATATATATATATATATATATAAAGATTACCACGCGAGGGGGGTTGGGGTGGGGGCTCTCGTTCTGGCGGGCCACGAGGTCCGTGCGGAACTTGGCGAAGGTGGCGCCGTCGAGGCCCTCCCTCGGGGCAGGGAGGGGGGGTGGTGGGGCGGCGGGGCCGAGGGCGGCTACAATCACGATGACGACTAACAGGGGATGCGTCGACCCCTATCCCAGGCTCCGTGAGGTTTTCGAGAGGATCAACAATTTGGGGCCCAACCCTGGGATATACGAGGGGGGGGCGTCCATCCTCGACAGGGGTGCGTCCGAATAGCCCCCTCGGGATGTATCCCAAGATTCCTCCCCTTTTCTGAGCGACCAAACTTTTCTGGCGGAAGTCGGGGATTGGGGGAGAGAAATCGCCTGCGAACGACCACGCCCCTGGCCCTCTGCCGCCTCCTCCGCCGCAAAATGTCGCGGGCGGCGACGACGGCCACGCCCAGGGCCCTCCGCCGCCTCCTGCGCCGCAAGACGTTCGCCCCTTTCGCAGACCCGTCGGTTCATTGTGGACGCCTTCTTGTTCGATGACGACGACGACGACGATGACGATGGCAATGGATGACAATGACGACGGCGACGACGAGGACGACGTTTCGGCATTGGACGCCCCACCTTCCTCGAGGCTCTCCGCGGGGACCCTCCCCGATCTTCGACTCTCTCGAGGGCCCTCGAGAGCTTCTTGAGCAGGGACCGACCGTCCCGGCATTGCTATAGTCATACCACGAACTGTTCTTAGAAACTAAAAAAAGTTCTAACAACAAAAACACTGTTCTTATAACATAAGCCCGATGTGTTCAAGCAAGACAGGTCCCAGCCAGACATACTCTAAGAACATTCCGCGGGAACCACAAAAGGTTCTTAGAACATTGGTTGGTGGGGCTTCGGGCGAGCCGGGACGCTTCGCCACTGCTTGAGCCTCTTCTCCTCGAGGCCCCCGGGCTCCCTCGAGGCGAGACGCCCCGGCCCTCGAGGCCCCGCGTCCCTCGAGGAGAGATGGGCCCCGATCCTCGGGGCCGAGGCCCCCGGCTCCCTCGAGGCTCTCCTGGGGGGCCCGCCCCCCTCCTCGCCTCTCTCCTCGAGGCCCCCGGGCTTCCCCGAGGGAGGAGGCACGCCCCGCTCCTCGACCCTCCCGAGGGCCCTCGGGGGCCTCTTCTCCTCGAGGCCCCCGGGGCTTCCTCGAGGAGAGGCGCCTGGGTCCTCGGGGCACCGACGTCCCCGAGAAGAGAGAGAGAGAGAGAGAGAGGCCCCGAGAGCCTCGGGATCGAGAGGCCCCCGAGAGCCCCGAGGCCCTCCTCCCCTCCGCTCCCCCCGCGAGAGCCTCGCCTCCCTAGAGGCGCTCCCCCCCCTCCCCCCCCGCGGGGACGTTGTCCCCCTCGTGCCCCTCTCCCCCCCTCCCCCCCCCTCCCGATCCTCGAGGCCCTCCTCCCCCCCTCCCCCCATCCTCGAGACTCCTCCCCCCCCCCCCGCATTCCTCGAGGCTCTCCTCTCCTCCCCCCCCCCCATCCTCGAGGCCCTCCTCCCCCCCGATCCTCGAGGTTTTCCTCCCCCCCTCCCACCCCCCATCCTCGAGGCTCTCCTCTCCTCCCCCCATCCTCGAGGCTCTCCTCTCCCCCCCCCCCATCCTCGAGGCCTCCTCTCCCCCCCCCCCCCCCCGATCCTCGAGGCCCTCCTCCCCCCTCCCGATCCGATCCTCGAGGCACTCCTCCCCCCCCGCGGGGGAGGGGGAGGGAGGGCGGAAGAGGGGGGTCTAGCTCTCCAGACCTCTGCTTGATGCGACTGCCTTGCAGCCGTGGGCGCCCCAGAGGGGAGGCTCCACATGCCCGGCACAGGAGGCGCCCAAAACAGCCAGGATCTACTCCATGGGGGGCGGGGAAAGGGGTGCGAGGGCCCGCGCCGATCCTGGCCATCGCTCGGACGTCCATTTCCTGTGTTTTTGTTGGTTTCGTGCGTGTTTTTTTCACCAAATGATCAAGGATGCTCCTCGATGGCCCTCGCCGAAAGAAAAATGCACACGTCCGAGCGATGCCAAGCTCCACGGGGGGCGGGGAAAGGGGTGCGAGGGCCCGCGCCGATCGGCAACACAATGCACAAGAAAGCGGGCCCCTAAACCACGGGCGCACGTCGTGCCTCTTCGCGGCGTCCGGCGTGTGGTCGCCAGATCCACGGATGGGGGCAGGTTACCCCCCGAAACGCGATGCCAGTGCCGACCGATTTGGCGACGAAACGCACCGATCCCTTACGAACATGTGACCCGCCGCTACTGCGCGCGCGCGCGCCCGACTCCAAGTTTGCGCATGCCTCCTCGAGATGTGGACGAGGACCCCCAAGAACCTCCAGAATTCTCCGAGAACCTCCAAGCACATCCGACATCCAAGCATCAGAATAATCGGCGGCGGCGGCGGCGACGACGACGGCGACGAGCGACGAGTGCGACAACGGCGGCAGTGGTGAAGATGGCCACGACGGCGGCGACGACCCCACCTCCGCTGGGACCCGCTCAGAACCGGCCCCTGGACCCCTGCCGGGCACCAACACGAAACTGTACAAGCAACTCACGGAAGCTTTCGGTCGTCCCCATTAGGGCGACGAGATCTATGCATATCCACTGCTCCTGGCCAGGCCCATCCTGGGCCCAGGAGCTGTATATATGCCTCCCTGGCCAGGCCAGGAGGGCGTATACACCGCTCCTGGGCCCAGGATTGGCCTGGCCAGGAGCAGTGGATATGCATAGATCTCGTCGCCCTACCCATGGCGCCCAATAACGCGTTCATCAGCGCGCAAAACGGACAGAATGTGTCTCTCGCATATGGCGGAATCGGGAGCTATAGGTTCGCAATCTGGGCACTGGTGGTCGCTAGTTGGTCGCTTGTGGACACGCGTGAGTGACATGCGCTCAAATCCAAGACGAACGGAAACTTCCGCGACTCGCTCTCTAACCAACCCCGGCCGAGATGTCTTTGTTGTTCTTCCGATCGTGGTCGTTGACCCGTGGGCCAGGGCGCGGCTCTGACAGTGGAGGCCGGTCCACGGGAACACTTCCACAAGAAGCCCCAACCACCCGGAGACCCCAGGACGCACGCTGATGTTTGGTGTGGGCACGCCACGCTTTACGCTTTTGAAGGGGCCCTGGGACATACAAATGAATACACACAGATAACAGGATTCCCAAGATTTTCCGATATTTTCTGGGTTTTTGTCTTCCCCCCCACTTCCCATATGTTCGCATATTCTCTGGGTAATCGACGATTCATTGTGTCTGTGTGTTTCTTTTCCTCCTGAGCTTTTCATGGCGAGACCACCGACGCCCAAGAAGCCCAGGGCACCCTGGAGGCACGCGGGCAGTTTACTTGGCATGGGCCTCCACCGCGACGCTCGGGCCGGGTAGGGCACCTGGGCGGGGGTGCGCTGCGATCGCCGCAGTATGCTCCCGAGCACCAGCATGTGTGAAGGGGCCCTGGGACACACAGATAAATACACACACGAAGAACAGGATCCCCCATACTTTTCAACATATTTTGGATGTTTGTCGTCCCCCCACTTCACATGTTTTCCTACAATTTCCTGGGAGTCGACGATTCATTGTGTCTGTGTGATTCTTTCCCTCCTGAATGTGGGGCCCCCCCCCCGACGGCAGGTTCGCGCGGCGTCGGCGCGCGCCAAGGTTTCGGACACCGCGGCGATCATTCAACCCTGAATCCAACGCGACCCCGAACGTTCAAGGCTGCCGCGTCCCGTGGTGCTCCCGCGCCGCAAGATTCAATCTCGAACGCCAGCATCGCCGACGCGCCAACGCCGCATGAATCGACCATAACGATGAAGTCGGGCGTGTCCCCCTGCAGGGGGATTTTGGACGAACCAATAAAAATAGCCACAAAAAAAATTAAAAAAAACTGCAAACAATAATCAAAACATCCTCCCCAGACAATTGTTTGATTATTTTTGGCTACTCCTCTTGTAGAGGGACAAGCCCGACTTAAATCTACCATAACGACCGTTACGCGCCAGGAACAAGACCCTTCCGAGGGACACCTTGCCACAGGAACGCAAGAAGACGCGGGTTGCGAAGCTCAGGACACACTGGTACCCTTGACTTTCGGGACGACCGACATGGGTACGGAAAGAATGGGTACAAAGACCGACAGCAGTTCCTGTTCATTTTGAACAGGACTCGCTGTCCGCGCCGCCGCGGCCTGTGTCCATTCGAGACAGGAGGCCGCCTGCCCAACAGCGGCCGCTGTTGGTTCGGGGCAACATTTGCCGTCGGGCGTCCAAAGACTTGGCAGGGTCGACCTACAGGGCAAATTTTGATACATCGGATTTTTGAACATATGGAATGTCTAATACATGACTAATTTCTGAATAAACATATGCATGAACTCACCGTTGTTTTTAGTACTGAATCCTTGCATTTTGCTGTACGTGATCCGCACGCGGAGCACGTGTTAAAAGCGGCACTGAACTAAGCCGTCCCGACTGTACTGAAGGGGCCCCAGGACACACAAATAGATACACACAAATAAAAAAAAACATAGTTTCCCACATTTTCTGGGTTTTTGTCTTCCCCCACAATTCCCATATTTTCTCATATTGTCTGGGGAATCGAGGATTAATTGTGTCTGTGTGTTTCTTTTCCTCCTGATGTACCACGAAACGACCGCTGCGCGCCAGAGAACACCAGAGAAGATCGCCCGCCTCCCGAGCCGCGCCGTGCCCCGGCGACGCGGGGGGCACCCCCCGTCTGCAAAAAAAAGGGGGGCGGCGTCGCCCACGGCGGCGGAGCGGCGCCGCCGGCGACGCGCACTCCTCGCGACGGCGACGCGGACGGCACGGGACCGCTTTTTTCGGCGGTGGACGAGACGAGCTGAAACTTCCGCGACGTACAGGGCAGCTTCTAATACATAGGATTGTTTCAAACATATAGGAGGTTTAATAGATGACAAATTTAGGAATAAGCTTACGCATGCAATGCATGCAATCATCGTTGTTTTTTATACTGAATCCCTGCATGTTGTAGTACATGATCCGCACGCGGAGCATGTAATAAAAACGGCGCTGTGCACTCCAGCGGCGCGGCACGAGCCCGCCACACACCACCGCGGGGGCGGCAGCTCCGCCGTGCGAGGCCCTGTCTCGGCCAGGGCGCGCATCCTCGGCACCGCCTCTGGCGCCTTCGGAGCGGAGGTGCGCGAGCTCTAGCGAGGCGCGCGCGAGGCTGGGGTTATGTCGGGCCTGTCCCCCTACATTGCGGTTTTCGACGAAAAATGAAAAATACCCCAAAAATGCCCCAACAAGGCAAACCAATACTCAAAAAATAATCCCCCGATTCTTTTGCATGTTTTACGATTGTGGGAGTATGTTTTTTCGTCGAACATCCCCCTGTAGGGGGACACGCCCGACATAAGGCTGGGGCACGGCGCCCGCTCGGCGGTGGACAAACCTCCATTTAGCAAACCTCCCCTTAAAGAAAACGGCCTGGGACCGAAACCGACGGACCTGGACCCGCAAAAATGACGGCCGCGACGCCCTCTCGCGAACCGAAAACGGCCCATTCCTGCCCAGGGAGCTGCTGATACGAGGAAGCCACGGCAAGGATAAACTCGGGTGAGGATAAGTCGGGAATCCCTGAGATGCAGCGGTTCTGGAAGAAGATGTATCGGGCGTCGCGGCCTGATCTGAGCTTTCTGGAGCGCTCTAAAAGCGTTCAGGAACGCTCTGGGGCGGAGTTGCCCTCGTCCTGGCCCCGTCCTAGGGGAACGGCTTCCTCAGAGCAGCTCTGGCGGGGGCCAGCGCGCTTCGCCGCCGTGGCAGCCCCAGGCGTCTTCTTCCCCAAGTCTTGAGCCATAGCGCGATCCTCAGGTAAATCGTGAGAAAGGCCAGACCGAGAGCGCGATCCCTGGGCGTCGAGGGCGCGGCGCTTGAATACACTGTGAGGAAGTCTCGCGCGAGGGCGCGATCTTGGTATATGTGGTGATGGAATCCAGCGCGAGAGCGCGACTTTGAAATAAATGGTGAGGACTCTCCCGCGGGAGGAGTGGTTGATGCAACTCGGAGGCCAGGGGCTCACTTCTGAGACCCAAGACCTTCCCCGATGAAAACCAGCAAGGTACAAAACCACAGAAGGGCACTTCAATCGAAAAACACAAGTGAAGGGGCCCTGGGACACACAAATACATACACACATATAAAAAGATCCCCCATCTCGTCCCATATGTTCTGGGCTTTTGTCTCCCCCCCACTTCCCAGATTTTCCAATATTTTTCTAGGAATCGACGATTAATTGTGTCTGTGTGCTTTTTCCTTCCTGACAAACGAGGTACAAGACCCTGGAAGGGTACTTCAATCGAAAAACACAATGTGCCCCGGAGGGGTGAGCAACCTTCAGAAATGAGTGCTCAACAACGGCAACAATCCCGCACCGCGGAAACCCAATTCGGCCATGCACCCAGGGACAGTGAATGGCTGTTTGCCCCCCATCGCTCCGACGAACAATCTTTCACCATCCCTGGTTACGTGCCTGAAGTAGGCTTCCGCGGTAAAGATTATTGTTGTTGCTGGTTGCCTGTTTGTGTTTGGATTGTTGCTGCAACCGTCCTGACCCGCGAATGGATAAGCATTGACAGTACCCGGGGGTGACCTAAGTTAGGACAGCCAGAAACATCAGAGATAGGTGTCGTTTTGCAGATGTGCCAGACGAAACCGCACACCTGTCTAGGGATATTCCTAAGAACCCTGGACCGAAATTAGGCCAAGAACTCATTGTGTTATCCAGAAATGAATCGGGGCTATATGATGCTCAATGACGTACCGCCCGCGACCCGCCCGCGACCCAGCCGCGACCCAGCCTCGACCCGCCCGCGACCGGAGGCAAGCAAGGTGTTTCTTGGCATGGGTCGCCACTGTACGTGGAACTCGGGTTGGCCCGACGCGGCCATCATGAAAATGACGAGACCCACTCTGACATTTGACGCGGCCTCTCGCTGCAAGCTCCCGTGAAAACTGGACCGCTGACATCCAGGGCGGGCTCGTCGAAGACCGTCGGCGAAACCCTAGTTTTGGCGCTTTTTTGACGAGCGGACAGCAGGCGCCCCGCGCAGCCGCGGGCGCCCGGGAAGGCGCCGATCAATCCGGCGCTTTGGGGAGCTGCGCGCGTCGCTGCGCAGCGAGGCGTGCAAAGTCCGCCGCGCTGCCCCCAGCGAAGCGTAATTCACCGAGAAGGAGTAACGCCTGCCCGCGCGCCGGCAGCCGCTCCCTCCACCCCTGGCGCACTCGAGTATTACGTTTCCCCGACTGTGGGGGGAGTGGAAGGGGCCTGTCGGCTCACACCAGAAGTCAGTCGTGCGAAGTGCCACGCCCGCCCAGAGATCCGATGTCTCTCGGCTTCCTTCTCACGCACGGGGTTGCCAAGCCAACCTCAACCAGGGTCGTTTCTTGGTCCTGGGGCCCGGCGAGGATCCCAGGAGGCCGAAAACAGGGGTACCCATACCGCTGCTCCCCTGACCTCTCCCAGGGTGCGCTCTGACGGGAATTCCGAGGCGAATCCGGCAGTGGCGACGAAGGCCGCTCAGGACGCCCAACAAAAGGGAGAGCAAAGGAAGGGTAGCGGTGTGGATGCCTCGTCCTCCTCCGACCCAGACCCACGACGTCGTGATGTTTCAGCAACGTCGGCCCCTGGAGGCCTGGACCCCTTCCCCAGGAAGGTTTTTTCTCGTCCCGAGTCGCTCTCTCCGACGACCCCGAGGCCCGGTGAGGGCCCCGGGAGGCCGCAGATAGTGAAGAACCTCCAGGGCAGTTTCTAATACATAGGATCTTTAAAACATAATATAAGACTTTAGATACATGATTAATTGATGGGCAAGTTTATGCATGAATTCATCGTTGTTTTTAAAACTAAGTCCCTGCATTTGACTACATGCTCCGCACGCGGGACGTATGAAACACGGCACTGTCGCGCCGTGATTGTCTCACGACGCAAAGGGGTCTGGAGAGAGAGAGAGAGAGGCGATGCAGACCTGCCCCAATTCTCCTCGACGCCTCGGAGTGCCGCGCGCGCGCGGCCGAGACGCCGCCGACCCTCATCGGCCCGCGAGCAGGCCGCGGGGGCGGGCGGCGCCTCTCCGCGAGCGCGCGCTCCCGGTCGCGCTGCAGGCGCTCGGAGCCCTCCGCCATGCGGACGATGGCCTCCCGGCGCAGTTTTCCGGCGGCACCTCCTGCGAGCCTCTTGCGAAGTGGCGCGAATCGATGCTCGTCGACGCTGCATCGACGCGAGGTCGGCGCTGCCTCGTCGCCTCATAAACACGCCTGAAGAGGGCATGCCGGGCTCCCACGATTCGCAGTCGAACAAGGCCAGGACTGGAGGCCTCCTAAATGGGGTCCGAGCACATGGGGTCGAAGGATCGCGCCGCATCGCCGATGCATCGGCGATGCAATTATCGGCGATGCGTCGGCGACGTCGACGCGAAGCGAATCGGGCTCGACATCGAGCCGCATCGGCGATGCATCGGCAATGCGGCGCGATCATCCGACCCCATCGACTCCGACCCCATCTTGGAGGCCTAGACAGACTTCGCCAAATAACAAAAATCCGCTGACCCTGTCGGCGTGTGCGGGGTGTCTGTCCGGACCCGTATACGGGGAGCCTTCTTTCGTCCCGTCCTTCCCATCCTCCTCTCTCGTCGGGAGAGAGAGAGAGAGAAAGAGCACCCTTCCTCGTTCGGGGAACGGGTTCGCAGCTCGAGGGACTGGTTTCAACGTCCTCATTGTATCAAAAGGGAGCCCCTTCCCTTTGTCCCTTCCCCGCGGGGGGGGGAGGTCCTGGGGGAAGGGGGAGAGGTCAGATTCGCATCGCCTCTGGGGGTCCTCCTCTCCCACGCTAGTCCTTCTCCAGCGCGCCGTTCCTCCTCGGGTCATCCTCCCCAGGTGGGGAGGAATCCCAAGGGCGGGAGAGGGTAGTCAAATACGCATCCGTCCCTGGGGGTCCTCCTCCCCCTCCCCATCCCCTCTCCCACGCCGGTCCTCCTCCCCAGGGGGGGAGTTCTTTTGCTCCTCCTTCCTCCTCCTCCTTCCTCCTCCTCCTCCTCCTCCCCCTCCTCCTCCTCCCCCTCCTCCTCCTCCTCCTCCTCCATATCTCCACCTCCTCCTTCTCCTCCTCCTCCCCCTCCTGGTCGTCGTCGATGTCTTTCAGGGTCGGCGGCACCGGCCGTCAGGCCTTCACAATAGTATACCCGAAAAGCCCTGGGATTGGGCGAGGGTGAGATTGCTATACTCAAAACGCTCTCCCTGAGGCATGGTTTCTGTACACCAGACGTGGCCCCGGGCGGTGGATTCTGCTTGAGGCTGGAAAAATGAAAAATACAAAAGACGAGCCCGATCCCCTCGCGTTGCAAAACATCACGACGGGAAATGTTTCGCTGTTTTCGGCCTCCCAGGGCCCTTGCCGGGCCCCGGGACCGTCAACAACAAATGATTCAGTATGAAGAACCCGTCCCGGTGAAGGGTTCCAGAGGGTCGACGTTGTGAACCAAATCACGACGTCGGGGGTCTGGGAAGCCAGGACGAGGATAACATCAGGTGAAGATCAGTCGAGAATCTGTGAGATCTGGCGGATCGGGAGCCGCGGCCTTCTCAGAGTGTCCAGGGACGCTCTGAGAGCGTTCCTGGACGCTCTGGAACGGATTGATCCTCGTCCTAGCCCCGTCCGAGCCTGGCGGAACTCCTCGAAGGGCACGCCGCGGTCCTCCTGTGGGATGCCCAGCCGGCCAGCGCGCCGCGGCCCCAGAGGCAGGAGAGCCCAAGATCGTATCGTCAAGTCGGATCGGCGATCCAAGCCGCGACCCCATTCGCAGGAGATCCCATGATCGCATCGCTAAGTCGGATCGGCGATCGAAATTATCCGGATAGGCGGCAATCGGCATGCTTTAGTAATTAGGCGGGGCGAACAGGGCCATCCAGAAGGTGGGCCGTCGAAAGGGTGCATGGAACGGCTTTCGGGGAGGCGTTCCAAGATTTCTGGAACGCCTTTCCGCCCAGCGTTCGGAGCAGTTCGGTCGCCTCGGCCCACGGCCCGCTACCGCGTCGACATGGAGACACCTCGAAGCGGGATCAGGCCGCACGAGTGAAGCCAAATTGTCTGCGAGGGGCAGCCTTGGAATTGCTGTTCTGCCACCCTCTCTCCTTCTCGTCCTATGTGTGCCCGTCGACCGCCGCGCCCTTTCTATGGCGCCGAAGTGGCCACTTCGCCTGGTCTGCCCCGTGCACGCTCCCGCGCTGGCCCTCCCCCTGCCTCCGCCCACCGCGCAGCCCCTTGCCCCCCATCCGCCGCCACCTCCCCTTTTCTCCCTTCACTCCCCTTTTCGCCCCGCGTCCTCCTCGTCGTCGTCGTCGTCGTCGTCGCCCCTCGTCCCACACCAGTGTCGTTCAGCGCCTCACTGATGCTAGTCCGCTCCTTACATCTGCCAACCGCACTCATTTTCTCTCGCACTCTGCCTCCCTCATCCCTCCCCCCCCTCCCCCTCCCTTCCTCCAGCTCCCCTGTCCTATTTCGCATTCCCCCGTCCCCTTCCCCTTCCCTCCCTCCATTTGCCCCTTTCTTCCAACCTCGTGCTCTCCCGCTCCCACCCCTCCCCATTCCCTCCGCCGCCAGCCCTTCCCGAACGCTGTTCCGGGAAGGCGCGCAGCCCTTCCCGAACGCTGTTCCGCGGAGGCCGAATGCAGGCCCCAAGTGGGCCATCCGTCCGGCTGATGCTCCGAGGCCCCAAGTGGGCCATCCACCCGGCTCCTGGAGGCCGCCCCCCCCGAGGCCCCAAGTGGGCCATCCATCCGGCTCATGCACGCCCCCGACCCTCGCACGCCCTGCGCGCAACCCCCTCGCCGCCCCCAGGCCCCAAGTGGGCCATCCACCCGGCTCATGGAACATCACACCGGGGCACCCAGTACCCCTGCACTGGTCCAGGGCCCCAAGTGGGCCATCCGTCCGGCTGATGCTCCGAGGCCCCAAGTGGGCCATCCACCCGGCTCATGGAACCCCTTCCCAGAGCTCCCTCGGAAAGGCGTTCCGCGCCTCGGGGGAAGGGTACTCGCGCGCATGGCCGCCTTGGCTCCCGCGACCCAGGGCGCCCTTGCACCGATCCCAAACCACCCCGCCTCTCCCTCCCCTTCTCCTGCTCCCATGCCTCCCTCCCTCCCTCCCGCCAGCATTCCTGCCCTCTCGCCCCGCACCTCGTCGTCCCTTTTCTCCCTTTTCGCCCCGCGTCGTCGTCGTCCTCCTCCTCCTCCTCCTCCTCCTCCTCCTCCTCACATGTCCTCATCCTTCCGCCCCCCCTCCTTCCTCCTCCATCATCCTCCGCAATCCTGCTCCCGCCCTCCTCCCTCATCGTCCTCCATCCTCATCCTTATGAACCTCCTTTTCCTCCTCCTCCTCCCTCATTCATCCCATTATCACCTCTCCCTCCTCCTCCTCCTTCTCCTCCTTCTCCTCCTCCTCCCCTCCTCCTCCCCCTTTTTTTTGACAACCCAACGTCGAGGCAAGTTCACCGCGTCTAGAAGGGCAGCAGTACAGGTGTGGAGGACACCGAGAAAACATGAAGGGAGAAGACATCGAAAGCCAGTGGGACCATTAAATACGCAAGAAAAGTGGAGACAGTCGAGAGGGCCCAGGGCTGTCTAGCTGGCAGGAGCTGATTCCAGCAAAGATGGTTGAGGGACGAGGTGAAAGTGGACGGCCGAGCCATCCGCAATCCCAGCTGTGATTTCTCGCACCACCGCGCTTCCATCCACCCGATGAACGGCCCACTTGTCCATCCACCCCCTGGATGGCCCAGTTCGCCCCCTCCAAAGTAAGGCCTCCATTGAGAAACAAACGACTCGGCGGCCAGCGAGAAGGAGAAGTGAGAAGGAGAGGGACCTTCTCAGAAGGCGGCGGGGCTCCCCAGAAGCTCTCCAGCCTTGTGAAAAAAAAGCAGTGCCTTCGGAGAAGGCTTGGAAACACACATCAGAAGGCCCCGGGGGCTTCCGAGCCTCTAGTCGGGAGCGGCCAAGAGGGGGGTGTCCAAGAGGGGGGGGGGTGCAAATCATGACCGGCGGCGTGGGCGCGGCCCGGCGGGGGGGCCAGGGACGTGATGAAATAAGAAGGGGCGCCATGCAATCTGGGGGAATCGCATGGCCCCCGCCATGATATCCCCCCCCCCCTGGTCATCACCCCCCTCTTTTCCGCCCCCGATCTGTGCGCCGCCGACCCCTGTGCGCCGCCGAGGAGGAGGAGGAGGAGGAGGAGGAGGAGGAGGAGGAGGAGGAGGAGGAGGAGGAGGAGGAGGGGGAGGAAGAGGAGGAGGAGGAGGAGGAGGACTCCAGGGCCGATGAGAACGCCCGCCCGCCCTCCCCCCCACCCCCGGGCACGCCGCCGTGAGGAGGGGAGGGCCCGACGTCTCCTGCCACTCCCGACCAGCATCTCAGGAGGGGGAAGGCATCCCGCCACGGCCAGCGGGGGCCGCCCCCAACCCCTCGGCAAGGGCCCCGATCCCTCTCGCTCCTCGCACCCCGCCCCCCCGAAGGAGCCCACAGACGCACAAGTAAACACACACACGCAAATAGCACAAATCCCCATATTTTCACCTATTTTCTGGGGAATCGACGATTCATTGTGTCTGTGTGTTTCTCCCCCTCCTGACCCCGACCCTCTGCGGGCGACGACGAGGCCGCGCGAGAGCATCCCAGGCGACGACGAGGACACGACGGGGCCTCGCCCCCCGACCGCCATGGGAGATCTGGGAAAAAACAGCAGCAGGTACCGATACCGCTGCTCCCCAGACCTCTCCGGGGGTGCGTTCTGGCCAGAATCTCAAGGCGAATCCAGCGGTGGCGACGAGATCCTGCGAGGAGGCCCAAAAAGGGGAACACGGCCGAAGGGTAGAGGTATGGGCACCTTTTCCTGCTCTGGAGATCGGAGTCTGCAGTCGCATCGGCATCGGAATCGGAGTCGAACTCAAATCGAAATCGGCGCCTGAGGGCTCGAGCACACGTGAGCCCTGCCGGTGCACGCCGCCCCTGGCAGAGCACCAAGAGAAGCCCGACATGCTCTCGCGCCGACGACGCAATCGATGGGGGGCCTGCAGCTAAAGGCCTCCCAGACGGGACCGGAGGAATAGTAGTAGTAGTAGTAGTAGTAGTCGTCGTAGTAGTAGTAGTAGTAGTCGTAGTAGTAGTAGTAGTAGTAGTAGTAGTAGTAGTAGTAGTAGTAGTAGTAGTAGTAGTAGTAGTAGTAGTAGTAGTAGTAGTAGTAGTAGGTAGTAGTGGTAGTAGTAGTAGTAGGTAGTAGTAGTAGTAGTAGTAGTGTAGTAGTGGTAGTAGTGGTAGTAGTCGTAGTAGTAGTCGTAGTAGTAGTAGTAGTAGTAGTAGTAGTAGTAGTAGTAGTAGTAGTAGTAGTAGTAGTAGTAATAGTGGTAGTGTAGTAGTGGTAGTAGTGTAGTAGTAGTAGTAGTAGTAGTAGTTAGTAGTAGTAGTAGTAGTAGTAGTAGCAGTCAGTAGTAGTAGCAGTAGTAGTAGTATGTAGTAGTAGTAGTAGTAGTAGTAGTAGTAGAGAGTAGTAATAGTAGTAGTAGTAGTGGTAGGAGTAGTCAGAGTGGTAGGCGTAGTCAGAATGGTAGGAGTAGGAGGAGTAGTGGGAAAAGACGTAATAGTCGTAGTAGTCGTAGTAGTCGTAATAGACGTAGTAGTAGTAGTAGTAGTAGTAGTAGTAGTAGTAGTAGTAGTACTAGTAGTAGTAATAGTAGTAGTAGTAGTAGTAGTAGTCGTCGTAGTAGTAGTAGTAGCAGTAGTAGTAGTCGAAGTAGTAGAAGCAGTAGCAGTAGTATCAGGAGTAGTAGTAGTAGTAGTAATAGTAGTAGTAATAGTAGCAGTAGCAGTAGTAGTAGTAGTAGTAGTAGTAGTAAAAGTAGTAGTAGTAGTAGTAGTAGGGGTAGGAGTAGTCGTAGTCGTAGTAGTAGTAGCAGAATAAGAAGAAGTATAAGTAGCACAAGTAGTAGTAGTCGTAGTAGTAGTAATAGTAGCAGTAGTAGTAGTAGTAGTAGTAGTAGTAGTAGTAGTGGTGGTAGTAGTAGTAGTAGTAGAAGTAGTAGTCGTAGTAGTCGTAGCAAAAGTAGTAGTAGTAGCAGCAGTAGTAGCAGTAGTAGTAGTAGTAGTAGTAGTCGTGGTGGTGGTGGTGGTAGTAGTAGAAGTAGTAGTAGTAGTAGTAGTAGTAGTAGTAGTAGTAGTAGTGGTAGTAGTGGTAGTAGTGGTGGTAGTAGTAGAGGTAGTAGTAGTAGTAGTGGTAGTAGTAGAAGTAGAAGTAGTAGTAAAGGAGTAGTAGTAGTAGTAGTAGTAGTAGTAGTAGTAGGAGTAGTAGGAGTAGTAGTAGTAGTAGTAGTAGTACAATCCTCCTCCTCCTCCTTCTCCTCCTCCTCCGTCATTCTTAAAGAGGAGGAGGAGGAGGAGGAAGAGGAAGAGGAGGAGGAAGAGGGAGCCGACGCCCAAAGGTCTGAACCCTGTCCTAGTGACCGTTTTTTCGTCCCGAGTCGTTTTCTGACGGTCCCGAGGCCCGGTAAGGGCCCCGCCGAAAATAGCGACAAATTTCCCGTCGTGACTTTTGTTCACGACGCGAGGGGGTTTGGGGATTCGGGGTCCCCAAAGCCTCTCGCGTCATGACAAACGTCATGGCGGGGGGGTCTCTTGCTATCTTCGGCCTCGGGTCCCAGGAAATGGGTCGAG